CAAACTCATTAACAAAAGCAGCGGCATATAAGATTGTGAAGTAAAAGCATTTAGTGGAGTTTGGATTCAAAGCAGTCAATTGGAAGTGACCTTGAAGCCAGCATCACGGCAAATACCACATCGTGTTAGCCCCATGAGGTCACCATTACAAGATGTATCTAAAGGAGTCATCATGCCAACCTTTGAACTAAAATCTTGGGCTGTTTTAATTCCTGCACAGCTCGAGGTATTGGTAACGAACTGGGTAGAGTTCTGGAAGCAGGTATGGACCATATCGGCGGGGATTGATAAAGCTGCAAGCTTGGTACTGAAATCAGAGAGGCAAGAAGAAGAGGATTGAACATCGGGGAGCTCGAAGGTGGAGGTGTCTTTGAGGTGCTGAGCAAGTCCAATCCCGAAGAGGCTTAGGAGGGCTTGGCAACAGTGCTGGGTTCCATTTCTTGGGTCAACTTGAAGGCAAGTTGAAGTGTCCCAGGGGAAGGTTAGGACGTAGGAGAGATCAAAGGGACATGAGGAGGGAGGAGGAGGAGGAGGTGAAGCAGCAAGCGAGATGGTGAAGACGAGGGAGATGAGGAGGGAAAGGAAGACGAATGGCTTAGCCATGGTAGGTGGAGGATGCTGAGAGAGAAACACTCGTGTTAGGACAAGTGAAACTTCATAAATACTTATCTCTGCAGTCAACCACGGCTTGCTATGGTCACATTAGTTGAACAGGAACTCACAGAAATTATAAAGAAATAATTATGGACCCTCCAGGCAGCATCCGGAACTTGCGTAATCTTTTGTTAATGGCTATTTTCTGCTCGGAGACCATCCTCATCAGTCAAAGTATTTGCACTCGTCTGGTTTCACTTTAGATTTTTGTTAATAATTTGTTCAATCTCCTCACGGAGTCATGGTTTCAAAGTTTGAACCCATTTGTTCTCTAAATTATTCAAAGCGTGCGTATATCTAGGCAGTAATCCTTTCTTTTTCCTTTTTGAAGGCAAGTTGCGATCTTTAACTTTCTTTGTGTGGGGTGGGAAAAAGAAAAGACTTTGTTGGTGTGAAACCATCTAAATGGATTTTTTTCCTCCAATTGAAAAGAAATATTTTTTAAAAAATATTATTAAAAAATAGAATATGAGAAGTCGGGTTTGTCTTTTTGTGAGCGCAGTATAAACGGTAACGTATGAGCAATTTAACAGCGGCTAGAGAAACAATTTGCGGAATAGTTAAATTTTTCTTGGTCGACTGTGGCCAAAAAATTGTATATTCATGGTCAACGACAACCATGTGAGTCCAAAATAGTTGTCGGTCTACTTGCGCTGTTGTGCAGGTTGTCACGGTGAGAAATGACTGACAGGTTAGTTAAGTAGACGAAGAAATAATATAACTGTATACTTCTCAATAGACGTAATTCGCTGCCTTTTTTTTATTTTGCCACAAAGGAAAAAAAAAAACCTGTGCCTTCTTATCACCGGCCATAAAAGCCGCCGTCCAAAAAAAAAGGGAAAGAAATCGCTGCCAGTATCTCTGTAATTTCTTCTTTGTTTATTGAGCTGAATGGAGTAGATTGAATTTTGACAATTTAAATATATTTTTTTATTTTAACGTCCCCATTATACCTTTCAAAATATATGTACAAACGAATAATACAATTTATCTGTTAAAATTTGCACATTAGGCAAAGTAAGCCGAGTCTTATCATCTCACATTACTATGATTTTATAAATACAGTTTGCTTTGCTTTATTGTTTGAGTTGTATATATTTATTTTAATAACATCTGCATCATAAGGATTTTTATATTGTCATAAAATGAAAATAAAGTTGAATAAATGAATTTGGCATTTGACTAAAATATGACTTTTTATGTATTTATTTTGAAAAGGTGTACTAAAAAGGATTAGATACTTAAACAATACTTGCAAAAGTACGGAAATGATTATTTAAATTTTTTACTCGCCCTGAGAAAATTGTAAAGCCCAGAGGAGAAGCGTGAGTCGTGATGAGAAACGGCCGTCGTTTCATTTTCCAGGCTCGGGAGTCGTGATGAGAAAATTACAAAGCCCAAATAAGAAGATTTTCCGTTTTTGTTTCATCTACAAAAATCAATATGTTGGGCAGCATCGCTGTTCCAACGGCCCATTCCGCTAAAACGTTCAGAGTTGGATTCCTCAGTTGGTCCATAGGATGGAAGAGACAACAAAAGAGGAGGGGTTCCAAGGAAGAGAACTTGGAGTGAACGTGGTTCTACGTTCATCATTGTTATCTCCCCCTGCACAATTAACTTAAAAAGAGTATTTAGATAGAAACAAAATCATAGTTTTAAAAATATTTTTATAATATATAAAGTGAATATATAGAGGAGTTTACTTTGATTTGCGAAAAAACGCTTTTGAAAAACACTTTTAGCATAACCCAAACACTCCTTAAAATTAAATATTTTAAACTAATTGCTGGGAAGATAGAAAATATGTACGGTGACAAAAATAATAATAATTGATTTATAAATAGTTTTTTAATTATAATTTACATAATATGAAATAAGTATATAATATAAGTGTTTTTCTCAATCTACCTAAAATCAAAACAAGTACGACATGAGCCGGGAAAAAAAAGAGGGAAAATTACACTCAGGTTCCACAGAGTACAATTAATATCAAAAAGGTCCCACGAAATCGCGAAATGATTCTGAAGTCCCCAGGGACCTGTGTGTAATTAATTCTAATTGCGAAATTACCTACTTACCCCTGTTAATTTTATTGCAACAATTCGTTTACAATCTCAACAGTGGCTGTTAACAACCCGAGAAGATGTGATTGACAACCTCGGCAGTGCTCATGACAACTCACTTTGTAGAATGCCAGGGGCGTTGTTGAGGTTGTTAACCACCTCTTCTCGAGTTGTTAACAGCCACTGTTGATGTTGTAAATATGTTCTAATTTTATTTACAATCTCAACAGTGCTGTTAACAACCCGAGAAGACGTGATTGACAACCTCGGAGTGCTCATGACAACTCACTCTGTAGAATACCATGGGCGTTGTTGAGGTTGTTAACCACCTCTTCTCGGGTTGTTAACAGCCATTGTTGAGGTTGTAAATAGGTTCAAATTAACAGGGTAACTACGTAATTTCACAATTAGAATTAATTACACACAGGTCCCTGGGACTTCAGAATCATTTCGTGATTTCGAGGGACCTTTTTGATATTAATTGTGTTCTGTGGGACCTGAGTGTAATTTTCCCAAAAAAAAATCCCTTCATATTCATATTCTGGTTTTTTTTTTTTATTGGGACGTACGGCTGCCAGAGTGGCCGACATACTGATTCCTTTCGTATAAGCTGGAGTTAGCTGGTTGGCAGTTAAATGATTAACATCCAAACGCTGCGGGACTGATGTTTTTTTATTTTTGCCAGACCCGTTGGGCTGATCTAACTGGATAATACATATTATTTCCGGCGAATAAAAAAACTAGACATATAAAAGTGCTCAAGGGCTTAACAATATCTTGATTAAGATTATTGCTAATAAGAGGAAATCTCAGCAAACTCTATCAGCATGCTTTATTAATTTATTGATTCCAATAAAAAAGTTTCCAATATCATATATCATAAATGAATTTAAATTTAATATCATAATTTATTAATTTAAAATGCAAGTGTAATTTTTCTTTTTCTTTACCTGTTTTACCCGCGAACTTTGAAGGAACGGCTATAAATTTCATAATATATATACCTGCATAATTGAAATATAGTAATATACACGCACATTAAAATGATACTCCTCCGGTCCTTATTATAAGACCCAATTTGACTTTTTATTTGGTCATAATTATAAGACCCAATTCATTTTCTCTCTTATATTTATGCATTTTTTTCCAAGATAATCATTCTAATAATGATAGTTTTAGCCAATATACTTAATTAGCAAGGATATTTTAGGAATAACAACACTTATTTATTATAAATAACCAACTTAACCTACTTCTTTAATCTCCTCAAATAAGTCAATTGGGTCTTATAATTAGGACCGGAGGAGTATTATAGGGATTTGCCGGGTGAACGCGTAAGGGTCCCACGATCACCGACTCTGCCTTTTCTATCCGTGTTTTCTCAATTGACAGGATCCACCTTTACTTTGTTCTACATTTGGTGAAGAAGGCTGCTGGCGTGAGAATTAGGCCTCGCCGGAGATCGAACCGTCGAAGTGAAGAGAGAGAAAAGGGGAAGGGCAGACCGGGCGGAATATAGAAACTCCGCTGATCGGATTTCCTCCTCCCCGCCTCCCATAATCCCGGAAAGTTTGCCTGCCCCATCTTTTTTTTATCGCGGGCTTCCCGCCAATTCGTCTTCGCCATCTGAGGAAGTGGAGAGAATAAAAAAACCTAACACGATACAAACTTCGTTTTTCTTCCTCTTTCTATCTTTCATTTTCACTCAAGTTTTTCTGATCCAGAGCCTCACATTTCTGGTTGACGTATAAATAGACTTTTTTTAGGAAAAAAATTCTTGAAGTTACCTTCTCAAGATTACCAGCTTCTAGTTGGAGGTTTCAGCTGTTTTTTGGCGTAGCAAACGTCTTTTTCCTTGGATATTGGATATTCGTCATAGTATTTGTTTAATCGCTTCCCAGCTGTTGAATTTGGTTTTTCCTGAAAGATGGACCAGTTTGGTGTGTTAACTGCAAGTTATGGGTTGAAGCCACAAGGAAAATCGGCTCCCATGGCGTCAGCCAAACAAGCCACAAATTTTGGTGGCTCGCAATCCGGAAATTTCGGCATCAATACAAGTCTCCACTCCAAATCTGCCCAATATGGATCAAGATCTCCTCAACATCCCACTTTTGATTGTGGTTCTTTTCTAGATGATCATAATGGGGTTTTTGGATCTCCTGGCAATAAGAAGAGCCAGCATTTTGGAAGTCTTGATGATGAGATTGATATTTTTGGTGGACCAAATAAACCCGCCTTTCAGGCGAACGCTAGTGGTGGCGATTCATTTGGTTTTGATTCAATATTCATGGGGTCGAATAATTCGGTTTCGAGGCCTTCAGCATCGAATAATTATGTTGATGACATATTTGGTGGAATACCTGACCTGGAGAGCTCGATTCCTGCCAAAACTGAGCACGGCCTTCCGGCATTTCCTTCGCCAACTAAGCAACATGTTCCTATTGACGATATACTGGGTAAGACTGGTTCGCTGCAATCAAAATTCAAAACTTCTAACAAGAAAGGATATGAAGGGCTTACCAAGTCGGCACCTGAGTTTGATGACTTGATACCTGGATTTGGTGGTAGCAGTATTACAAATAATAGGTATCGAACTCTTATTCATTTTTCTACGATCGTATGATTTTCTAATAACAATATTGCAGGTGAATAATTTTTACAATTTAGCTTCGAATGATCATATTTTCTGAAGGAAGTTTTTATTGGAGAATATGATGAGATATAAGAAAATGGAGTCTAGACCTTTCTATGATTGGCTTCTGATGTCCCAGGGCGTAGTGATAACTGGTTATCAGCACATGTGTTTCCGCTCTCATTAGTGATACTTCTTCTGTCCCGCCAATATTGTACCTTTTAAATATTCTTATATTAACTTGTAACTATAATGGCATGCAATAGCATGATAACTAGCAAATTGTACGAATTTTATAACTATGACATTTTTTTTTTTCAATTACAAATGAAGATGTGCATTTTTTCTAAACTTTTCCATTGGTAGCTCTCATCCTTCAATTTAATCTCACTGTACCTGAATGCTTATTTGTTTTAGAGCACCTACCAAGGCGAATAGGCCTAGCAAGCAGACTGTAACTTCACATGATGACCCATTTTTGGTATTTGAAACAACTTCAACAAGTGAGTCTTCAGGATCATTCCTGGACCCATTAGAACAGATTACCAAGTTAAATAATTCCGGAGGCACAAGAGGTAGCTCCAACACCCCATCATTGAGACCTCCACCAAGACCGACTAATGGTTTAAATGTAAATAAAGGTTGTTCTAAATGCTTAAATTAAAATCATGAATAGTTATAGACTTTAATCATTGACTTCACTAAGTAGTTCCCATAATTGCTTACAATGCAGCTAGCAGCTCGGCTTTATCATCATCAATAGATGAACTTGAGGTATTTGCCATGGGTCAGGTGCGGAGTAATGCCAGGGCCCATATTCATGGTCGTGAAAATAGACAAAACTCAGTGGCTAAGACAAACAAAAGTAAAGGAGCTCCTGATTCAGCAAAAGTGAGTCAAATGAAAACCGTGGATGATCTTGAATCCTTTTTCAGCATGAGTTCTCGATCAAGCAGTGCACCAAAGTCAAGGGCCACAACCTTGGTAATAGCTATTAAAATATCAAGTTTAAATGTTTCAACAGCACTGGCAGATCATATTCAGTTCAGTTTTAATATTTATAGTTTTTTATTGATACATTGTTTAGGATCAAACAGTTGATGGCCAAATGCAAAACAAAAGAAGATCTGAAGTGCCTCAAAGAGTGCCATCTGGATCCACCGCCAGTATGAGGAAATCTTCATCAACAACATCGTTTGATGACCTTTCACTAATTTTTGATTGTAAGTTATTGTTTGAGCGTATCAATTTTTTATTAATTTACTCCACAACATACTGATCTTTTTTTTTTTTTGGTTGCAAAAGCCTCCTTATCGTCAAAATTTGAGGGAATTGATGGGGAACCTGAGGAAAGACGAAAAGCAAGACTGCGGCATCATCAAAGGACAGAGCAGAGAGCGGTCTCTGATGTTATCTTCTCAGAAATTCTAATTTTTTCCTGTTTTCTAGCCATGTTTATTATCTGGTCTTGTAGAGACTCAGCATAAGATATTTGCACAAGTGCATTCGACCCTTTTAGGCCTAGAAAATATTCATCATTGTGAACCGGGAGCACATGACATCTTTGGATTTCAAACTTCATATTGGACTTTAAACCTTGGCATCATTAAGGAACAGGCTTTTCTTTGAAAATTTTGCTAGGATGATTTATTATTTTTTTAATTGTCATATTTTCAGGCAAAAGCAGTGGCTGATATGAAGCAGCGGAACCTTCAAAGCACAATGGAGCAACAAGAGAGGCGTGTAAGTTTCTACAGTGTTTTACCTGATAGATTTTAATTCCCAAGGATTATGATGCTGTCATTGTCCAGATCTTAATTTTTGTAATTGCTAGATTATTTGAACAGTATTGTTCAGTTACATATTTTGTGGGTGGGTTGTTGTCTGCTGCCTTTCATTCTTCTGTTTTCCTGTTCCAGTTGTTTACCGTTACATTTTTTTGTGGAATTTGGTTTAATTTGGCAGAGAATTGCTGAAACTCTGGATGCTGAAATTAAGCGGTGGGCTGCTGGGAAAGAAGGCAATATGCGGGCTTTGCTATCAACATTGCAATATGTGCGTTCTTTTGCCATCATATTTTGTTAAATCTTTTTAGTACCTTAGGACTCTAAAATGTGCCCCCTTTTAATGTGGTATGATTGGCTTTCTTAGTGCCTCAGTGGGTGTGGATCCACCTGACTTTATGTATACTTATTTATCTTCTTTTTTTTCTTAATTTGCGAAATCCATGGCGGGCCAAACAGAACATGTTGACTAAGATATGTTTATTATATGGCATTAAAATTTGGTGAGCAGTACTTTTAAGCAGGGTTAAGAGGACCTGATTACTTGTTAATAGCTATCTGACGAGAAAGGTGCATTTATCCTTCTACAAGGAAACGTAAGATTAGTGTGTGGTTTTTGTTAAGCACGGGCTGGGGGCCTATGATTTGCTAATGCTCTCCTCTGTAGTTTCCAAGGTCTCTTGAGACGTCCTTATCTTTAGCTTGTCAATTGATGCTAAATGACTGGGCTTTAGGTGTAGAGGAAGATAATTTAGACTGCACTATTTAAATTTCAGCCCAGAAAAAGACTGAACTGTATAAATAATATGGCCATAATGGTTCTAAACAAAGTTACAACCTTTTGCTTCGGAAGTCTGTTTAGCAGCAGTTATAAATGCTGAACACGGTGCTGTTCATTTATTTTGACATGATAAATGTTCAGCTTATAAACCATGTATCATTCTATTAGAATAATTGTTCGATAACTGTCTTTTAAATTTAATACGCAGGTGCTTTGGCCTGAATGTGCTTGGCAGCCGGTGTCTTTGGCTGATATTATTACTTCTGCTTCAGTCAAAAAAGTTTATAGAAGAGCAACATTATGCGTTCACCCTGACAAAGTTCAACAGAAAGGTGCTAGTCTTGAACAGAGATATATTGCGGAGAAGGTTTTTGACATCCTTAAGGTATATATATAAATGAGAGATGATTTACTTTGCTTATGAGTCCTTTGTTTATTCCAACTGTTCCCAGATGAAGTTAAAGGTCATTATTTTTTTCCTAAAGGTTTTCGGGTATGTTAGATATTTCCCCAAAATATCTACCAAGCTTGATTCACTAGCATTGTTCACCTTCATCTCTAAACATGTATTCTACCTTTTTGTCTGCTATAGAAATTTCAAGTGTTGGGCCTATACTGGATATTTGCTTTAGTAACCGATACATGATAGTTTGGAGTTTGTTGGACACCAATTTAAGATCTGGAATGTCTTGTGTTTATCCAAGCAGACTCCTGAATCTTCAGTCTGTTTAAAAACAAAAAACAAAAAACAAAAACCAAAAAGGTTATTTATCAACAGTTCGTTTTTTTACTTGTGCAATAGTTATTATTCAATTATTGGAGTATTATATTAATGTTTGTTGCCTATATTGTATTTCTTATTTTTCTGATTATGAAACAGGAAGCCTGGAACAAGTTCAATGCAGAAGAGCTTTCTTAGGTCCGGTGGCTGAACTGTCCCTCTGAATCAATAAATCTATCTTGGACAAGCCCCCATTCTTTCTTGGGACTACTCACCTCCTTGCTGATAGATTGTTATTATGCCGTTGGGGTAAATATTACTTGGCATTGGTTGGCTGAGAGTATCCTCATGTGAATTAATGTTGATTAAGGATTCTTCGCACATTTGGAAGTCCATGACAGTTGAGATAGGCCTGGCTAAATTTCAGTCAGGCCCTCCCTATCATGTAAACAGAGCTTATCTGACGTCGAGATATATACATCATTTGTACATCATACTTTTTGGTGGTAATGGGGGGAATTCATCGATTTGCTTAAATTGCGAGTTGTAACTAGGCTTATGTCGGATTCTTTACCTTGATATGATGAAACAAAGAAATTCTTAAAGTGATTTCTGCCTCGAATTTGTAAGATTGTATGTGATTATGATTCCTCACGCATATGTTTTGTGGCTGGTGGTCTTCCTTTCACCCACTATTGTAAAGCTAAACAGGTTATACGTCAAGAGAGAACAATATTTAGATTGATTATCCCTCTTACAAAATTGTGAAATTGCGGGAGTGATCATGCACCGAAATTAGTCGGCGTATCCATTGTTATTGTTTTGCGGCTACGGTCGCTTATTTCCCTAGCTGTGGCAGGTGGTTGATCCTTGAGGCTGGATATTGTGGATTTTACACTAGATGTTTAAATCTTACTGCATAGAAAAATAAATGCCAACGCGAGGTTAGAGGTCCATATTTCTTGCCATTTCAGTTTTATTTTTTCCCCCTGTACGGTTATTGTATGAGAATTTTATTTTGAGGGCAAACGACATTTATATTCTGCATCATCAATGCGGGGACCAAGATTCTCTTTTAAGTGGGTTGTAGTTCAAACCAGACCTTTCTATTTCTCTATGACCCCCTACGTTTCTATGCTTAGAGGTTTTTTTTTTTTTTGTTGGCATGCTAAACAGCTCAAATTATGTCAGACAAGTTCAAATCTTTTGGATCTTTCAGTTGTCAAATTATTTGTTTGATCTTTACGTTCTTGTTACTCGCATGTATTACTAGGCTTTCCATGAATTTTTTGCCAATTCTTTTGGCCATATCACTATCAAAATTTGTCAAGTTTTGTTTAATTAATTAATGATAAATTATTTTGTTCGATTCTACAACTTTATTCCAATGCTGTTTTGTATTTCGTAATCTGATACTTATTTTAATTCGCATGATTAGCTTAACATATATTACATCATATATTATTTATTGTTACTTTTGGTTCTATTCTTTACCTGAATAATATATATTTGAAAGTTAAAATAAAAATATTATAAAATCATAAAAATTCAAGCATGTGTTTCCATATTTAATTATAAAATAAAGTAAAAATGAAAAAAGAATTGACGTTTAATTTTTTGTTTGGTAAGGAATAGAGAAATTAACTGCGAGGGGCCCTAGGAAAAATTATGTAATCGACCCCTTCGATTCTTTGGGCCATGAGACCCACGCGATAGAGAGAAGAGTAAGATTATGTGGACCCCCTCTCAATGTGTCTCATTGGCCAACAAAAAGATGGAAAACAACAAACATAAAAAGGGGACAAATTCACAACAACGACAACAATTTTAAAAAGAGCCTCAGAAGCTTTTTTTTTTTTTTCAAAGTACCTCAGGGTTAAAAAAAATAAGGGAAAATTCCAGAAAAAACCCTTGGAATATACCAAATCCCAGATTGGGCCCTTAAATTTTGAAAATGACAGAATGGGTCATTGACCCAATCTGTCATTTGTGAAATTCAGGCGAATTGACATTTTTACCCCTGAGCAAAAGTGAGTAGTTATTCTCTAAACAAATCTAGGTAACGCTTATACTGTTCTAGTGATTACAAGATTCGTTGTAGTTAATAATAAGGTACCTGACAATAATAAGATACCTGACTATGAAAAAATGAGTAGTTATTCTTTACACAAATCTAGGTAATGCTTATATTGTTCTAGTGATTACAACATTAGTTGTAGTTAATAACAAGACACCTGACTATGAAAAAGTAAATAGTTATTCGCTATACGAATCTAGGTAACACCTAAACTCTTATAGTGATTCCTTGAATCATTGTAGTGAATGAATAAATGATGGCAAAATTGTCAATTCGCCTGAATTTCACAAATGACAGATTGGGTCAATGACCCATTCTGTCATTTTCGAAATTTAAGGGCCCAATCTGGCATTTTTCATATTCCAAGGACTTTTTTGGGATTTTCCCAAAAAATAATTCGAAATAATCTCCAATTCCAATCTTCTCGAACAGCTAGTCCGAGATTGATGTCCGTAATAAAAATGAACAAATTAAAAATAAATTAGTGGTTAAATTTATAAATATTTTAATTATTTTAAATTGTAAGAAAGCTGGTTTTTCTGCCCACTTTCACTGTTAGGAGCATCTCAACTCCGGGAAACCTTCCCTACTTGCGTTCCTATTCACTTTTCATGCGGACTATTAGATTAAAATTTGGATAGTTTAAAATATATAATTAAAGCACTGAATTATAATAAATAAAATATATATCATCAAAATTACATTAGAATTACAATAGAGGGAAAGTGAGAAAAAAAATCGCTTTTGTAAGCTATTTAATTTCAACCACCCAAATTTCATCCATTGATGTAGATAAGTGGATAGAATTGAAAGGGAGGTGGAAAGAATATGAACTAACAGGGCGGAGGACTGTGACTAGGTGAGATGTATACTGTCTTTTTTTTTTTTTTTTTTGGGCCTGAAAAGTGAGATGTATACTGTCAACGATTGATTTTGTTTGAACAAAATACTTTGAAGTTATTTTTGTTCCAAGTGTCTTGGAAATAAAATTTGTTTTCATCATTATAAAAAGAATATATGGTATTCATAATGCCATATTGTTATTATAATCTTATTTTTAATTTAAGAATACAAAAGGTAATTTTAATCACAAAATATTTATTTTGTTCTTCCTTTTGCTAATATACATATAAATGGGAAAAATCATAATTGACGAGGAGGAATAGAGCAAAAGGCCAACAACAAGCAGTATTGAATGATAATCGTTGGCCTCGTGTTAGCTGGAAATCATTTCTTCATATAAAGTGGATTCTGCTGTAAATTAAAGCGGTCAATGAATCTGGGCTTCCCTTAGTGTTTGGAGATTCTTGTTCAATTCTCCATTAACAATAATTAATTACTTTATTCTGGCCATAAAGATATAGCAATCATACTCGACTTGATAGCCAACTAGCATGGATCTCAGAAACTTCCCATATAGTCCCACTTGGTTATCATCCACTCACCCCACTAACAATGTTTAATTATATTCATACCCTAATCATCAAAAGGAGAATAACATGTGCAGCACAGACTAGAAAAACCAGCACTCCAGAATTCTTGAGCGTTAGGACTATATCAGGCCCCACCACTTCTCAGGCGAACTTTCCGGTGGCAGCCACCGCACTATATGTGTGTGTGTATGTATATATGTATATGTGGCCTCTCTCTTCTCCAACTCCTAGGTTGATAGTTGTTTCTAGCAAATTTTATATTAATTGGAGTCCTTAAAAAGCCAAATTCCATTTTTTCCCCTCTTTCTCAGTGATGCACCAATGAAGCAGCTTATGGGAAAGTGAGAACTTGTCACAAATAGTCTTCTTTCCATGGGCATTATGAAGTCAACCCAATAAAGGGATGTAGAATTAATTTAATTAATTGGAAGAGAATTCCCATTGGGACTTTCTATTGCGGCATAAAGAAAGATTCCTTATACAAATATGAACTCCAAGAGAAGGGAACGTGACTAGGAAAGCAGTGGAGGTCAAAACTCTTGGCTCATTCCAATGTTTAAAGAAGCTGCTGTTGTTTTCAAATCTAATTATGAAAGGCCTCTCTGCACATGCTGGGTTCCTTCCTATGTATTGTACCTATATGAATCACTTTCAAGCTGTGGCACTTCACATGACTCTTGATATCCACCCTTGTTATTACATATCTAATGACCAAACTGGTCCACCAACAACATCATCTCGTACATATATGGCTGCTTTCTAGCTTTTGGAAATCAAAATTAGGAGAGGACCCTCTTGCTCGTTGGATCCTCCACCTGCATGAATAAAAAGGAGATCAAGCTCATCTAAACCACTCACTCTCACTGTGATCTTATCATATATATATGCAAAGGGTAGGTCTGAAGCTATGTAAGCAAGTGAAGCATATAAGACATATGGCTGCAACAGTGAGGCATCACTTTCAAGTTTGGATGGAGGTGAGTGAAATTTGGGAAAAGGGAAGGGGAGGTATACGGCGTGCAATGGATGGTCCAGATTGAATATGATTCTCTTCTGCTGTGATTTGTCAGCTGTGGAGTGGGGATTACAAGATCATAATTATGTGTTGCATATATGTGCACTTTCAGTGGTGCTTATGAAGGCACCACTTCTCATTCTTTTTTCACAATGCATATCTTATAAAGATGCCGTTTCTCTCCTCTTCTTTTTCTTGCCAGTATTCTGGTTTTCCTACTTGCTCGCTCCCTCCTTTCATTTCATCCTTGTCTTGGGATTCTGTCTACTGTATATTAAATTGATTAAGTCGGCTGCATCTTCATTTACTTATACTGGATGGACCATTTTAATTAGCTTCCTTTAATAATCGACATAAATGTCAGCTACGCACAAGACATTATTGTCCTTGCGTAACAACCAACGTCCCCTTGGACCATCTTCCTGACCAATCATTCACCAAATTGGCATATATTGTGGTTTCTTCCTTTGACAGAAAAAAAGGTTGCCATAAGCTTCTAATCAGTCTATCAATATAGTATCATGTAAGAGCTGATGAGTTTCTTCCCCTCCCCCCCAAATTTACTACTGCTCCGACCTTTAATGTATGACCTAATTGTTGAGTTAATTTTGATCTTAAATATAAGATTAATTTCTCATATTTATCATTTTTCCTAAATTAACCCCTATGGATACTCCATCAACCATAATCAAGTAGAAAAAAGAGATGGGATATTAAGAAAGATAATTATGGTGTTTTAGAAAAAATATTTTATCTTTCTTATAATTAATTAACTTACCTAACTTTTTTAATATAATCAAATTAGTTAAATAGATCTTATATTAAGGACCGGAGGAGTATTTTCTTTTGGGAATGCCTGTCAATGCAGAATAAATAAATAAATATATAGCAGGATATGCTGCCCGGGACTGTATCCCTAGCTCTTTTAATATTTAATGTTTCATCGCGCTTTGATTTTTTTAATCTATCATTTGAATTAAATCCTTGCAATTCTTCACGGGAGTGCTTTGAATGAAGAATGAATTGTGGTCAACATGAAATGATCGATATCCACCAATAGTGTATGTCGTTTTTTGACGCGCATTAATATAAAAAAGAGTTAGTGTATATATACTCTGTCAAGTTCAAATCTGCAAATGAATTTGGCGAGAACTTCACACTTAGCTTCAGTCCTCCTTCTTCCGTTACAATTAAGTAATTAACTAGCCCCTTTTTTTAAATATTGGATTTTAAGAAGTACTAACTGATAATAAAGAGTCGCGTTAGGCGTTCACGTGACCGACCAACTAAAAGAACAGAGCTTAAATGCGAGCAAGAGATTTTGAAAGCTTATGCTTCATTTGTTGCATTTCACATCGGAGTGCATAGCACGAAGTTACACGGCTAGAGGACGCTTGAAAGAGAAGAGAAAATACAAAGCAAGAGGACTGGGGATATGAAAGGCTGCTAGCTAAGAAACCAACATTAAGATCACCATCCTAGGTTTCACATATAAACATGAACAAGAATCGAAATCTTCTCTCTCTTGTGTCCGAAATGCTCATCTATGGCGATCACTGTATGTGTAGCTTATAAGGTGACCGCAAATGGCTTGTAATTTCTAAGTTGATCGATAATATCGGCAATAGAACCAGCAGCGGCTGCTAAAGAAATGAAGAGGCAAGCAACACTGAGCATGTGGAGGCAGACCCATTTGGTGCTCCACTTTGGTATTCTCTTCTGGCTTATGTACATCTCCACCGGGAAATACACAGTGAGAGGCCAGAACCCAAGAGCTCCGAGAAGCCCCACAACGCCGCCGAAGAATGGAAGAAGCATTGATATGACAGTGGTTATGATCACAAAAATGGTCCTCCAAACCAATCGGAAGAAGTTGAGTTGGTAGGGTGATCGGAGACCAGGGATCGGAACCTCAATGTCCTTGTTCACAAAATCACTTTCTGGGAATCTGTCTGATGCTGTTTTCTCAATGAATGAGAAGAGGGGTTGGCAATAAACCTGGTAAGCACCGACGAGGTGGACAACAATGGCAACATTGGCTAAGTCGAGGAGCCAATACGGTTTGTAGAAGCCGAAACCAGTGAGGAGGTTTCCTGGGCTTGAGTCTCCGAATGCAGAATACCCAAAGCATCCACATAGCATGTAGAAAAATGAGGTCACGATAACGCTGATAAAAGTGGCCTTCTTCATCGTTTTTGCTTCCGATGGTGGAGCTTTCAATGTGTCCTGTTTTTGTGACATACTTGATTTAGTTTCATACTCTCAAATCAAAGATGAATTCACAGGTGCGAATAAGTCTAGTGAGAAGAACACACACACACACACACACATACCTGGATTTCTATGAGGATCATTGAATAAGAGTAGGCGAAGGCTATGTCGCCCAGAGCTTGGAAGCTCCTCCAGACTTTCTGTGTCTCTGTCACAATTTGGGAGTCTACGACGGCACCCACGGTTATCCCTGTTAGGCTTCCTCCAATTCTCTTGTTTTCTGTCAGCAGATGATCAATGTAATTGAGATCATCATTCCCAATAGAATAAAGAGAAAGATAACACATAGATCTATGAATGGTAATCATTATGCGAACTGAATCATACCTATGGTTTGAGCAACGCCGAGGCCGAGCCCAATGGTTGAGTAGGTGAAGGACATGACAGCAGCTACAATGGATAACCACCATAACTGATCGAAGTCTGGAATTTGAGAGAAGACAATCTCGGCGATGCCAAAGGCAACTATGTACACATCTCCATTCATTTTGCAATCGTCTTTGCTCCCAGTCTTGTGAATGCAGTTAGACTTTTGGACTGCCCTGTTTCATTAAAATTCCAGAAGAGCCGATTAGACTATTTTCACATTAATTTGCACGAACAATTAGATCTCTTTCTCTCTCAGATATGCCTATAGTCCCAAACTTACATCATGCTTATGGAAGCTGCAATAGTGTATCCAATGGCGACGCCGAAAAGGTTCACATATTGAACCAGCCCACAAATCTTGACCTTAAAGCCGCCTGTACACACACAACCACCCAATTAAGCTGGAAACTTTGAAAGATGGCCCAGATTTTCAAATAAATCAAGTTGGGTAGGATCGGAATATACCGAGGTTTGATCGAACGGCGTCCATGTAAGTGTAGTTTCTCTTGCCAGTGAAAGGGTCGCCGGAACGATAGCAGGCGGCGAGGAGGGTGGAGGTGTAGTAAGTAACAAAAGAGAAGAGAATCATGACGGCAGGCCCTGCAATCCATCCGAGCTGAGCTATAGCCCAGGCCAAGGAGAGCACACCGGAGCCTATAACTGCGGTGATGATATGGGCACTCGCGGTCCAAACAGTCCCTGTTTTCCCAACCACAAAACAGAATGAGCCAAAGACACAGGACAAAATAACCGATCAATAGAACAAGAGGCCGAGCTTTTTTTTTTGGGGGGGGGAGCTGGAAATGAAATAGGAGATCATACCAGTTCGCTTGAGGCGGCCATCGTCGTCAAAGCACTTGGAGCCGCCTTGCGGAGCCACGTCAATGGAGACCTGAAATGCCTGACGGGTTTTGGCGGTGCCGTTCTCAACCATGTTGGAGGCAAGAAGAAGGCACCCGACTTGTTGTTAGCTGGTGGTGAGAGAAAACCGGAACGTGAATATTTAAAATATGCAGAGGATGAATTGAGAGGAAGTGAGAATTGAATGAAATGGAGGGGATGGGTAAGAGAAGGAGGAGTAACTCCCAGTTCAGGGTCAACCTGAAACAGAGGGCGAAAGACACAGGTCCCAAGGAATCACAGAAACCGAGACAGAGAGAGATAGGAAGACACAGTGGTGTGATGTGGGAAGAAATGAATGAATGCAGAGAGAGTATAGGATGTGAGGGGAAGCAGTGAAGAAGAGGAAGAAGCGAGAAGGGTATAAATAAGGAGAGGGAGGGAGGGGATGAAGGAGAAAACGGGGCTTTGAACAAAGATTTTGGGACCCCACGTGACGCAATCACCTCCACGCGCTCTCTTTCTCCCTTCCCCCCCTTGCTCTCCCTCCAAACGCTCTTTTTATTTTTTTGCCCCCCGATATTTGCAATGCATTTAAGTTTTAACACCAAAATGAATTTTTTTAAAAAATTAAGTAAAATACAAGAGGAGCCTCCAGAGTCCTATGTTGTTTGCGCTTCCTAAGCAGCATAATTCGTTTCAATTAATGTTAGACAAAACCCAGAGTCAGAAGGTTACTAAATGTTGAACTCTCTTGAATTTTTTTGATTTATTTGGGCCGGAAATGACTCATTTGAGTTGACTCTGTGTGATTTTGTACCTCATCCGCCTAAAAAATATAATAGAAATATTTTCTTTAATAATTTTTCAATCCGTTACTAATTTCATAGTTTTAATACTAACACGCAACTTGCCTCGCTACAATTACAAATGGGAATAAATAGATGCTTCCTCCGTCCTTATTATAGTTGATATTCTGGGAGTATCTCATGCCATAAATACAAATCACACAGCAAAATATGCAGAACAATAAATTTGTCCTATCGGAGGTGTCCTTGTATTAGAAGCTGTGTTTTGTTGATGTTTTCTCTTGTAAACAAGACAATCGTCTAGAATTTAAGGTTAATTGATGAAAAATCTTGTTTGAAGATTTTTATGATTAAAAGGATTTGATCTATCTTTTATGTTTTATGCATAAAAAACATTGGCATGTTATAAGATTTCATACGCAGTGATTTATATTTTGAATCATGAAACCTTTTTTAAAAAGTGACTTATACGGGTATCATAGGAAATATTGTTTTTCTTACTTATTGTGAATTTAAGTTAAAAACAGGTGGTACTAAAGATAGATATGGCATGAGCAGGTAGAAATGAGACAATTTTTCATGTTTACTTTGGGCCTACCCCACTTTAGCTTTATAAACAGTTTGCCTTTATTTATTTTTATTTTTTTTTCCTTTACCGAACATCTGAAAAAACCAACACATAGTTATTTTGTTTGCATGGATCCTTCTGTTTGACTCCTTTTCTTCCGGTTTTGGGATCCGTGACAAAGGTAATAATACTCTTCATGTCCTTAATATAAGATCTAACTGTTGAGTTAGTTTTGGTCCTAAATATAAGACTCATTTTTCATATTTATCAATTTTTTCTAAATTACTTCTATTGATACTCCCTCAACCATAATTAAGTAGAAGAGGGAAAAGAGGTATTAAGAAAGATGATTATGGTATTTTAGGAAAAATATATCATTTTTCTTATAATTAACTAACTTACCTAACTTTCTTAATCTAATCAAATTAGTTAAATGGGTTTTATATTAAGAACCGGACGAATACTATGTTTTTATTTAAAAAAATCAATGTAATGCTTTACTTTTTATGTGCTGGAACATCTCTCTGGTTACCTAAATTATCAAAAGAAAAGCTACTCAACACTCGTCCCACCCCAACCAAAAAGAACAAAAAAAGAAAAATACACTTTTCAGTTACTAATTAACTGTTATTTTTTGAATAGTTTATTCTTAAATAAAGCGTGAGAGAGAAATCTGATATTTATTTAAAGAAATGTTAGCCATTAATTGAGGGCAAATTTAAAATAATTATGTTTTACTACAAATTTAATTAGCCTAGTAACTAATTTGATTGGTGTGTGCCTGAGGTGAGGTATGAGATGGGAGCATGAAAGTATTTGAGGCCGTAAATAATACACGAGGTGTCATGTATAGGATAAAAACAGACGCATGGCTGAACAGAAAATAACAATTAATATTTCTGCAAAATTCTTTTTAATCGTCCTTGGGAACCATTGCATATAGAACGACTACTATGTCATATGATGAGAAAGGAACGAACGCGATATGGGGGCGTCCTTATTTTGAAGTTGTTACATGCATTGAACGCATTCGTATGATAGAATGTGGGGGGAAAAAAACCAAGAAAGAAATAAAAATAAAAACAGTAAAGGAGAGAAAAATAGAAGATCCAAGAGGGGTAATCATACCTTGAAATGAATCAAAATATAATTGAAGAAACGACGACCTTGAATTGGGATCAAAACGACACAGGAGGCAGAATGGGAACAGAACAGAAGAGAAGAGGAGGGGAGGGATGGATGGATGGATGTGATGGAGGAGAAATAAGAGAGGAGGAGGGTTATATAGAGAGAAAGAGGGAGGGTGGCATTAAGATATTATAATGATATGTCTCTTTAAAGGAGCACCCCAGAATCCAAAATGCTCTTATGCCTCTCTCTTCTCCTCCACCCTTGCTGCTCCTCCGAATTGGGTTCTGGTTCCCTTCCATTATTTTCTCTCATTTTTTTAATCCCCCCCTACGCATATTTACCGGTCAAATATGTGTTTGTTTCTATCCCTTTCTGCCATGATGCCCCATCTCTTCCCACTAATCTGTATCCAGAAACGAGGATCCCCCCGGGAATATATTTATTTATATTCTTATATATGATATTTAATTTGCATGTGTATATGAATATAATTAATGAAAACTAAAATTATGGGCAGTGGACTCCACTGGCATCTTATTCTTACCTCGGGCTCCAGTTAATTAAAAGCTCTCTGTTTTCATTTCAAGCATGCAAATAATCATGTCTTAATGATCATAATTTTCTGCCTCGAGAGAAACAGGTTAACTGATCATTGATAATATACTCTCAACAAGTTTAATTATATCTGGCTAGCGTGAATATAATTGAATTCTGCATATTTTGCTTGTACTGTTTGGCTGCATGCACAACGCACGGACGCTTCCCTATTCCTGCCAAATTCATTTCAATCCGATCATATGTCCATCAGCTTTTCAATCTGCTTTTCTCTTTTTCAGCCCTCAATTATTAATTGCATGCCGGTCACTGATCATAGCTTTCATTTCGAAGCTTTTAGCTTCAAGGATCAGAGCCATTGAATTTATAAAGTGGCCAAGGGATTTTATCAATTAGACATACAATCAGTGTGTAAATTAATTAATTGTAGAAGAAGGAAAGAATCAATCGTAACTAACATCCTTTTGTCATTATTCAATTATAATTTCTTTAAAGACCTTTTTAGTGGCCACCCATACATTCGGGTGCCTCGTGTAAAATGTTTTCTCATCATATTTGCCTTATTATGTATAAACATAAAGCGGCCGCTAGGGAGAAATGCCTTCACATAATTGGACGTTAACTACTATTATTATCTGTATTTATAAAAGATAAAATGCTGCAAAGTACACATTGTTTCGTTGAGGAAAAAAAATGGTGGCAATTATTAATTCCCAAAGAGTATTATGGTGGATTTAATATATATATATACTCCTCCGGTCCTTATTATAAGACCCAATTTGACTTTTTATTTGGTCCTAATTATAAGACCCAATCCATTTTGTCTATTATATTTATGCATTTTTTTTCCAAGATAATCATTCTAATAATGATAGTTTTAGCCAATATACTTAATTAGCAAGGATATTTTAGGAATGACAACACTTATTTATTATAAATAACCAACTTAACTTACTTCCTTAATCTCCTCAAATAAGTCAATTGGGTCTTATAATTAGGATCGGAGGAGTATATATATATTGTGGAATTAAACAGCAGGCTCGAATTGATCTTCGAGGCTCACGTTGGCTGCTGCTTTAAACGTGATTTAGGCACCTCATTATTAAAGAGCCAACAATCTAATAAATAAGTGGGCAACTACACAAATGGGTATAGGACCACTTTTCCAAAATTCCAGAGGTGGACTAGCATAAAGCTATATTATCAACTAATCAACGCGGGGTATACGGACAGAATATTGAACGGAATTAACCAAGAAGTGATTTTTTTTTTATCTGGCCAGATACTAAAAAATGATAACGAATATTATAGTAAATATAATACAGCGTATCGAGTCGTTCGAATAATAAGTTATATCTATTATTGTTGACCCGATTAATGTTATAGGGCTAATTAATCAAGTTTATACCTAAACCATGACAAGACAAGAAACGTTGGTGGTTGCATTGGAACATGATTATGTGCAAGAAATTAATATATATGTTGTCAGACATTGCGTGCCATTAAGGGAATTCAATATTATTAGACGGTCAAATCTATTTATCTATTTATTTTTTCTAAGCCAAACACATAATAGGGGGATAAATTAGTTCAACAAAGTAGAAAAATGCTTTAATTGAATTGTATTTGTACCATGTGATGATCAGATTAAAATTGGCATATATGCCGAATCTAGATCTCTATTTGTCTCCGATGATCGTTAGTTGCCATACATAAAGTGGCATATGAAGAAGGGGATGGATTATTATTGATGCGATTAATTAGTAGCGTCAAAGAACACTCGCTTCAAGAATTTTAATTTCAGACAACTCGTCTTTGAAATGTCATCGATGGGGTTCAATTCAATTCAACATATATGAACCAATTGGAAACTAGACATAGAACAAATATGACACGAAATCATTGGCAAGCGATCGACCAGTTTGACGATTCCAGAGAGTTTGTAAAAATTGAATTTGATACAATCAAGTTTACTAGCTACAGTTACCATCATTTCCAGTTCTTAACTAATTCCTTTGCGTTTATATATATTTACATGTTTTTATTTCTCCAGTGGGTGTGTACAGAGGCTAAAATATCATTAATTAATTTGTTTATTTTGATATTGTCGTAACTGAGAAACTACGTACCCAGCATGTGTTAGTTCTTTATACAGTTTTCCGTTTGAAGGCGTGACAGAGACCGTATATAAAATTGTATGCGCCATGACACATACACGTCGGCAATAATTGAAATCTCTATTAATATTATTCAAACAATCAATGATTAATAAGGCTCATGCTGACGGAAATCACGCGTTTAATTTGTCCATTATTGTTTGGGAATCCCTTCACGAGTCTGAATTCCAGCAAAACCCGTGTACTTTTCTTTTCTTTACTCTAGTACGTGTGGTGTAATAAAACAGAGTTATCTTAAAACCACTCTTTCCCCGCAGATTCTTTCGGTATTACCCGTAATCACTGTGC